AAAAAAAAAAAAAAAAAAGGTATTTTCCCTGCACAAAAGCAGAATGATGTAGTGCAACCTAATTGTCCTTTTTTCTGCCATGGAACATGAATGATGGTTTTCTGTGTCTTTAAAAGTCATACTGAGACTCCTGAGTCATTGAGGTTTAATTGGGGAAGACTACTAAACCACCAATAACAGATATGATCTGTCACTGAGCCTCTTCACACCCTTTCTTACAGGAACTGTGCACATTAATTAAACTTCAATCCAGCATAATCACAATCATGCTTTTTGAAAAAGGAATTTTAAGAAAATGCACCCAAATGTTAAAGGAAGGGATAGTTTCTCTGGGAGGTAGACTTCTAGGTGATATTTTTTCTTCTTTATATAGTTAGCAGGTATTTTAAAAACAGATTTTTTAAGAACCCAGCATATGCAATTGCACATATACCGTGTAATTGCAACCACGTAGAAATTAATACAGATGCTTCTCGATTTATGATGGGGTTATGCCCCAATAAACCCATTGTTAAGTTGAAAATATCATAAAGTGAAGATGCATTTAGTACACCTACCCTCCAGAACATCATAGTTTAAACTCGTCTCCCTTAAACGTGTCCAGAACACTTAAACGTTAGCCTACAGTTGGGCAAATCATTTAACACAAAGTCTATTTTATAATAAAGTGTTGACTATCTCCTGTAATTTATTAAATACTATACTGAAATGTTTGTGTGGGTCCTTGGAGTATGATTTCTACTAAACACATATCACTATTGTGCCAATGTAAAGTCAAAAAATCCCAGGTCAAACCTTCATAAAGTGGCAATTGTTTGAACGTCAAAAGAAAATAAATCGCAATGGATATCTAAGTGAAACTATTGAATATTTTTTTCCTTCTCTTCATTTTTATTTTCTAAATTTTCAATAGGAGCATATATTATATCTGTAATTGAAAGAAATTTGTCTTAAATTAAGGTGGTGGGTGATTTGAGCATGCTTAAAGAGAACAAACAGACTGCTATTCGGATGCCAAAAAAGTGATTGCTAAATTATAAACAATTCTCATTTTCATCAAATCAATCAGGCAGTTTTTACTTATACTTCGAGTAGATGCCAATGTTTTTAGTTGCAAAGAGCTGAATTGCTTCAATAATAGAGTTCAAACTGCATAGGCCTGTTCTTTGAGGACATTAGTAAAGCTCTATAAATCTTTAATCCAAATTTAGAAAGATGTTCTGTAGGAAAGAAGGATAACAGACCCTCAGTTGTAGCCTCAAGATGGATTAAGGAGTCAGATCTGTGCAGCTCCAGGCAAATCCCACCAGGTGCACAGAAGGTGCATCAACCCCTGGCGTAGCTCACCTCATACAACCCAGTCCAATTTTGGATGTCAGCTCATTCCTTAATTCCCCTCAGACCTCGGGATCTAAAGTTAGAAAGCCCATAAAGATAGGACACTTGTCTGCCACACTTACTTCAGTATCCTAGAATATGGGAGGCACTCATCAATCTGTGGGACTGAAAAATCTGTTCAAGTGCCCGACTTCACTGAAGGATTAGAAATAACAAAGAATAGCAAAGACCTTCCCCGCAGATGTGACTGCCAGCAGAGTTATAAGAGCAGTGCTTCCAGAGGAAAATGGCCTGCTAGCACTCTCTCCTTCATCCCTGGCCTGCACCCACCACTTTGCAGTGGCCAGCGCCTTCCCCAGCAAGAGCCCCTACACCAGTTGTCTTCTCCCAGCGCCCAGGCCCCAAACAATGCTTGAAGCAAAACTTTGCAATTCACCAACTTCTACCTTCCAGGATAAAAAGTTCTGACATTCAGGAAGACCCTGCCTCCTATTGTCAAAAGGACAAGGCATCCGAATCCAAGCTGACAGTAGCATCTTTTTCACATTTTGGAACATCCGGTATAAAAAAACACCAAGAGGGAATCACCCACAGAACTGAGGGGTTGGGCTCTGAACTACCAGGCCCCCCTCTGTGTTGCCTTCACATCAGCAAAGAGAAGCTAGGCTCCTCCACCCTTTGCTCATGTCCACCTCTGCCCCAGCTATCCTGGCATAATTGTTTGGTCCTTTGGAAACCAAAACAATGTCCAGATTCATAGTAGCCCAAATCTATATTAAGAACAAAAAAGCATTTCCTTAAAGAAACACATTGCCAAGATTTCACTTCACAATGAAATCGGCCTTTACATTTCTTTGCTGATCAAGTTAGTTGTTCATTGTCTTAAATCTTTCCTCTTTGGAAAGGAGTTGTGCTTTTCATTTACATTACCAAATAGCACATTAAAGAGACTCCCAAACAATGTGTTCTCAAAGTGGAAATCGAGGCACACGCTCTCCAGCCCTGTTTCTCAGTTTGCCCACAGCTGCCCTGCCTCAGAATGACGTACGGAACTCTTAAAAGTGCAGATTCCAAAGATTTTCTGAATCAGAATTTCATAGGGATGGGTCCCACAATGCACATTTTAAAACAAATTTCCTGAGGAAAAAGCTATGTGGTTTACATGTTTCCTGTTTATTGTGATAATAAATGAACATTTAAAAGTGGGGAGGAGTTTCTTGAACGATTCTAATGCAAACTAAAGACCCCACTGTTTTGCTCTAGAAAAATAAACTAAGGTTTAAAAAAAAAAAAAAAAGCCTGCTTTTGCTGGGCCCACTGGCTCATGCCTGTAATCCCAGCACTTGGGGTGGCCAAGGCAGGTGGATCGCTTGAGCTCCTAATTTCGAGACCAGCCTGGCCAACATGGTGAAACCCCATCCCTACAGAAAAATACAAAAATTAGCTGGGGTGGTGGTGCATTCTTGTAGTCCCAGACACTCGGGAGGCTGAGGCATGAGAATCGCTTGAGCCTGGGAGACGGAGGTTGCAGTGAGCCAAGATGACACCACTGCACTCCAGCCTGGGTGACAGAGGAAGATCCTGTCTCAAAAACATAAACAAAACAAAACGAAGTGTGCTTTTCCCACTTCTCTTCCATGTTTTCCCATGGGTGTTCCAAATTTTTGGGGTGCAGACTCAGCTGAAAATCCTGTTGTACCTCATTTTACAGATAGGAAAAGGCATTCAGGAAGTGCTCATATGCAGACTTTGTAAGCACCTTTGTGGTCAGACTTCATGATGGCGTAGGAACAGTTGTCTATTTGTTGACTGCTTATGTGGTCCATGTACTTTACATACATTATCATATTTAATCCTATAAATAGAAAAAAATCTTATAGATGTCATTGTCCCCATTTTGTAGTTGAAGAAACTGAAGCTCAGGAAGAATTTGAACTCAAGTGTGTTCCTTCATTCAAAGCCTGGGTTCTTCCTACTGCATGCAGATGCCTGTCATCCACCCAATAATGTTTAACTAGTTTTCTCTTCTTTTGTTCTAGAGTTATTTTATATTTGGGCTTTTCACCTGCCAAAATATATTCTATATGCTAATTGATACCTTAAATTACATCTGTAGGGCTATCCCTTTGATTTAAAGATTTGTTTTCTGCTAAATTCACCCTTTTGGTTTTTGCTAAAATTCCCTTTTTTTAAATTCTTTGGGCATTAATACTTGATCAGTTCCTGAAAACCTTTTAATAAGGAAAGGATGGCACAAGTTTGAGACGCTCCACCTGGCAGGTGGAGGCTGCAGTGAGGGAAGGGGGTATCTTGTCACTCCAGGGAGGCAACAGTGATCAGTGACTGTTACCCTCACAGTTTTACCCACAACCAGCTTGCCCTAGGAGCATATATGTATGTCTTAGGATCCATGGTCACGGGTAGCAGTACTGTTATGCCCACAGCTGATTTTTTCAGAGGATCTTTATGTATAAAATGGCAAGGGGGAATATTATTTGCCTGAAGAGAGACTAAGAATACAACTGACATCCATTAAAGTATGTTTGTTATTGACGCCACATCTTTGTTTTAGGCCATAAAAATGAGATGCATTTGGGTTGTGATTCAATGTGGCAAATCAATTTTATGAGCTTTTGCTTGTAAGTTAGGCCATTATCGGGACCTCCATTGTTCAAAAAGGAAATGACACAGAGAGTTTGTTTCACAGCTGAGAAGGTAGTGGAAGGCCAGAAGAGCAAATCGAAGTTTGGACATTTGCGTCTTTCTTTATTTCCACTGGAGTGTGGTTTTCAATTGCAAGCTCTATGAGGTTAGGGATGGTGTCTGCCTGGGTCACTGCATTATCTCTGGTGCCTAGCACCACAACTAGAACAGAGAAGGTGATTAGTCAACATTTGCGATGAATGTTGAATTGAAGCCTTTCCGAAATCCCGTGTTAGCTTTGTTACACTGATTTTGTATTTTCTAACTTCTTGCAGTGCAGTAGAATTGAATGCAGTACCAATGTCTTAAGTTGCTAAATATCTGAGGACATACATATGATTTCAAACATCCTTTTTTTGTCATTAAAGATGATGTCACTGGGAAAAAATGTAATAATATAGAAATATGAAAGTTTAGAACAGTGTTGAAGGATGAAATCAATCCAAATTCAAAAATATCACAATGTTTGTTACTATTTTTCTCTTTCCTTTTGTTCTGGAATAATATTGCTTTGCTCCAGAAACAATGACTCATTTGTCATCTGCATTATGCTCTCTTCCAAATAAAATAGCTATGTAGAATGGATTTATAAACAAATGCCTTCTTGAGTCTGAAGACATGAGGATAATATATTTAAGA